AGGGGGGGTGCCGCGCCAAATGTGCCCTGCAGAAGTGCTGCTGCCCGCTCACGCGTATCTACCCGCGGCAGCGCGCAGAGAGCAGCGACACACAAAAAGCGCGGACGGGGAGAAGTGTGTGTGTGGGGGGGGGGGGAAGTGCAGACCGAAGCACACACACAGGCAGGCGCAGGCAGCCGTGTTGCGGAGGGGGCGCATGCAACCAAGAAAGAAGAGAAAATCGAGGCTCGGCTCTCCCACCATGCAAAAACAAAAAAAAGACAGACGAAAAGACCAACACAGAAAGCAAACTTCCCCTACCCATTGCTTTGCTTCTCCCTGTCTTCTCTCCAAAAGCAGCCACAAGAACAAAAAGTCACATAACCCGCGACCCGCACACAGACGAAAAACGAAGGAACAAAAGTTCGGCCGCCCTCCCGCCTTACTGCCGTCCCTGAAAGGGGACAGCGGAGGAGGAACAGAGCACAGAAACAAAACTTGGGGGATACATTGCGAGTGGCACGAAACACTCCCCGCGTTCCCCAGCCAAAACGAGCGAACGCGTCGCGCAACGCTTATTTCCTCCCTCCCATCTCCCCGCTTCCCCCCCGACGCTCAGTGTCCCGCTGCGCTGGTGGCTCCCTGCCGCCCGGCAACAGGGCAGAGCGAGAAAATGAGACACGGACACCAGCGTACGCGGAGAAACAAATAAAGCTAAATCAAAACCAAACACGCGTGGAATAAATAACAGACGCTATGCACATAATCAACGATGCAGGTAACTGAATAAAAAAATGCATAAAAATATATAAATAAGAGCACACACACGCGGAAAAAACGTGGCAGCGGGGAAGGACCCACAAACGCCCACGCAGTGAGCGGGCAAAATGAAAAGGATCGTCTATGCCCTACTTTTCAGTTATAGAAAAAAACACAAGAAAGAAACAGTATTTGCTATTTTTCCTCCATTTTGGCTGTATCACCGCTCACGTTTAAAATCAACTATCCCGGCAACTTCAACACGATCACTCGTTCCCTGCTACCGTCAGGCAGCGACACAAACCAGGCGCTGAAAGCGCCTCTCGCGCCCCGCCTGCCGCGAACGACAGGGAAGAGAGTGATACGACGGCCCTCAAGCCGTCACTTTGCGATTCTCTCACGAGTGATCAATTGAAAAAGGACACGACATAATTGAGTGTTTG